TATGCTGTCATTCATAAATAACAATGCCATATGCCAACCATATTGCTTACACAAGTAAATCCGTCAACGTGTCACTGTTTGATTTATCTCAACAGCTTCTTCAAATATTGAAGTATAGATATTGGAAGGGGTCTGGACCCAGGGGGAAGTACCCATGAAATTTGAGTTAAAAAAAAAAGAAACACCCCACCCCACAAACCTCTGCTTCTCCTTTATCCCCCATCCAAAAACATCCTAAAGGATAAAGAAGGAAGCACATCTTAGAGCCAATATAAATAATTATTGGGTGGTTATACAACCGCGAACACATTGGGGAGTCTTGTGGTTCCTTTTTTGACCTCCTAAGCATATTTTAAAACACAACAATTAGGCATTTCCCAAGAAATTGCCAAAACGAATGGGTCAAAGGCCATTGTCCAACAATCTCCATCTTTGAGGGAGAAAATGATTGATAACCAAATGAGAATATTTGAAGACAGGCCAGTTTTACTCAACTTATTTTTCTATTAGTCAGGAAGGAAAGGGAGTCATCATTTTTCGAGAACTTGTAACCACTAAGGTCAAGTGGACATGGGGTGGGTCCAGTTCTCCACTCTCTAAAAGAAACCCTAACACCCTGGACTCCCACCTCTCAGCCGGCCACCTAATCCCAAGCCTCAGCCTTTGTGTTGCCTTTTTTTTTTTTTTTAAATCGTTAAATTCATGTACATGGGACAAGGCTCATAAACTTTAACAAGAAGCACATTTGGGTGCCCTCTTGGCCCCACCAGCATCCATGGATCCGGGGGGCTCAGCGCGCGCGGCGAGGGCGGGAAGCGGAGGCAACTCTCGCCCAGAGGCTGAGACTCGCGCGGCGCTGCGGACTCCCCAGGCCCAGGGCCGGGGTGCGGCTCCCACGGGGTCTCCCGCGCCAGGGGCAGGAGGCTGGGGAATCTCGTCCCTGCCGGGCCGGCGCCCCTGCTTGGCGAACCCGCTGGGGAAAGCGCTGGAACCCGACGCCCCAGCACTTCCGGCCGGGACCCAGCTCAGCCAAAAGGCACCTTTGGGCACCTTTGGGCACCTCGCGCCGGCTCCAGAGAGGTCTGAGGTTAGCGCCCCCAGCCACCCCGCTTTACCAGTGTCTGCTAGTAACCCTGCTTCTTCCAGCTGCGCCCTCGCTGCGGCCCTCGGGCTGGGCTTCAAAAGCCTTTGATCCCTCGGGTAACTCGGGGCTCCCCGCTCGCCCTTGAACCCGCCTCTGGCGTGGCCCGAGTGGCACCAGGCGCTCCCACCCGCCCGCACCCAGCCCTCGGCGAGGAGGCGGCCCGCAAGGCAGCCACGCGGGACCAGTAAGCCGGAAAGCAATTGCAAGGCAATAAAAGGCCACTCGGTGGGTCCCCCAGCTCTTTTCTTGTCCACCTCACCGTCCCCGGGTTACCCCCTCCCCCCGCTTGCAGAAACAATCAAACAAAGACTCAAAAGCCAGGAAATGTCCAATTCACTTCCCTTCGAGTTTATTAATTGCCCACACCCATCGTAAGGGAACTTGGCTGTTCTCAGTGAGGAGCTTGGGGGACCGCAGTTCCCCCCTCGGCGCGGCGGGAACCCTAAGCGCCAGCTTGGGTAACCCCAGAGACCAGAACTCTTGTCTTTAGGCTGCTGAGCGCGACGTGGGCGCCGGGTCCTGGGCGGACCTGTGTTTCCTGTGCTGCTCACCTCCCCAGGCTCTCCGGCCTTTGGGGCTGGCAGGAGGTTAGGGTTGGGGTTGCAACAGAGAAGCCTGGAAATCGGTGTCCTTCCAGGAGCACCTTTGACTCCAGAAAGGGCATTTACATGGATTGCCCCACGCACCTTTGCTGCAAAAGCGCAGACAAGGGCATGAGTTCTGAGCATCAGCCTTGACCACCAGCACCACCTCGGAAATTTGCAAGAGCCAGCAAAACTACATCTGGAGTTCCCTGCTTAAAAACAACAACAACAACAACACCAGGATTATTTTCTTCAACACCCTGGAAACTGTCGGTGTTTATTTAGGAAGTGTGACACAGTTCTTGGGTCCTTAGAAACTCGGACGTGAGGGGGTTTGATTTGGCTCCCAAATAGCTTGAAAAAGAAACAGCGCACCTGGGGTCAGGCGGGTCATCACAATAACAAAAAGCGCGTCTACAAAATAAAAAGCTCTTTTACAAAGAAAGGCAATCCCGGAAATCCACTGCGAGCCTCCCTGATCACCATCCAGCAAGGCCTATTCTCAGGGTTAATTGGCAGGCGGTTTATTGGCGCCTTATTGGTGTTGATTGAAATTTTGCTCCCAGTTCTTTCTTTTAAGAATTAGCATCACAAGTCGATTTACCTGAGTCAATTATCTTTTTAGGGCCTAGGTTTGGTCATAAATTTGCAAATATTCATTAAAGTCACTTTGTAAATATCTTTTGTCAATCGCCACCCAAATCTCCATTATTTCCTAAGAAAGTCTTTTCTTTTTTAAGGTTTCCATAAAAAGAAATTGATCAGGGAGCTATATTTGAATTAAGACATATTAAATCGATGACAGATACATATCATGCTGTGTTTAACAAGAGTTGTACAAGGAGGCGGGTTCCAGATTCTGCACGGCTCTGCAGCACCATTATTCACATTTTTACAGCTTTTCCTTCATGCCTTCACCCATTAAACCATTAAATTTCAGCAATTCAATAAAACAAAACAGTTATAATTTTGAGGAAAAGCTATTTTGAAGGAGGTGGAGGTACCCATTTTATGGCACAATAAAAATGCCCAACAGTCCATATTAAAGGTTAGGTTGTGTTTAATTTCTTCTTTCTCTATTCATCCATCTTTTTTGTTGTGTTTTTTTTTTTGTTTTGTTTTGTTTTCCTCATCATCCTCAGGAGTGAACGGATGCTGCCATTCTGGATGTATTGATGCTCACTGCCATGAAATTAAAATAGAGGACATTCCTTTGAAGTGTTCTGAGAGGAAAAGAAGATTAGTGGTGACAATTCCAAATATGATGCTTTCTCCGTAACCCATCAGTAGAGGTGGCACAGTCGTCTGTCCACCTTCGCCTGGTCCACTCGAGATGTTTTAGCATCTCCGAAAGGAAAAGTGTGAAAGGATTCGTCCCCACCAAATAAAGGCTTGGATTTGGTCACTGTTGTTTATTCCATTTTTTCGTTGTGTTTGCACTCATGCCTTCCTCAGTTCCCCATATTTTGAGCTCCATTGAAGCTTAAGGAAAAAGCCCTTTTAAACTTTGGTTGTAGTATTGTCTTTGTTTGCTTGTCAGTTTTAAAAGAGAAATGACATTCCCAAGGCTCACAGGGAAGGTCCCTGTTAAAACATTGTTCACACCCCTGTCCATGGGACTAGCGAATCAATTATTTTGAAAATCTTTCTTACTACTTGCAGGACCATCTCCCGGATGGTTTTAGGAGGTCTATCTTCACTTAAACTTGCAAACGAATTAAGATGGGAACAGGTTTTATTGTAGCCCCCAAGGGGGGAAAAAAAATCACATTTTAGTCATTATCACCTTTTTTTCCCCTTACAAATAATTTTATGCAGGGCAGCAAAATGAGAATTAAAAGCTGTGACTTTAATTTTTTAGCATCTTGGAGCCTGGTCAAAAGAGGCTTCCTTTTTTCAATAGTTGAAGTGACACTTTGGGGCAGTCGAGTTTTGTAGGTGCCACATCTCTCCCCCTCCCAGCCCAAGGAATGCAGGAAACTACTTCTGTTTCTTCAACTGATTGGGTAGCAAGTCCTTGGAATGGATGGGCCCCGCCAGCTTTCAGAGTTTACAGTAAGACACCTCTCGGGCTAGATCAGTTGATTAGAAAATGCCAAGTTAGAGGTGATTCTATCAGTAAATAAACAGCGAGGCTACTGCTTGATTTTAGAAAAGATTTTCTTAATGAATCAATTCTAATTCGTGGTGATTTCAAAGAAACTGTGGTGCACATGTGGAACGTGTTCTGGACCGGAAAGAAAAATCCAACCTTAAAGGACGCTGTTTATTTAGCTGTTTCTCTCTGGAGAGGTGCTGTCCGGCTCGCCCTGCACTGGCTCTCCAGGAGGCAAAAGTCAGACTCGCTACCCGATGCCCCTCCCTCCCCGGCCCCCCCGTAGACCTCACTGGAGGTGGCAGGTCTAGAACCGACGGACAGGGCGATGACACTTCGAGCCCACTCTCCTGCAGCACGTCGGAGAGTATTTTACGAGTTAAAACGGGGAGGTGAAAGGGCTCCTCTTAGGAAAATGCATTCTGACTTCACCTGGCGTCTTGCGGGCTCGGCAACCAGGCAGACTTTAAGGTCCTTTCTCTCTCTCCGTTTGTGCGCCCTAGACGGGCGCCCGGTGGATCGGGTGTCCATCCCAAACACCACGGTTCAGAAATCACCTCCGCGAGCACGACGAGGGCGCACGCTCGCCAGCCCTCCTCGCGCCGGGCGCGGCCCAGGCCTCCTGCAAGGGGAGGAGGTCGCGTTTGGATGCAGAAGCGACGCAAGGCGCAGCGAGCCGGCGCTTTTTGAAGTTGCGGCCTCCCTCCCCCCTCCCCCCAGCCTCCCGCCCCCGGGGGGCCCCCGGCCCGCCGCCACCCGGTGCCCTCCGGCCGCGTGCCGGCGCACGCTCCCCGCCCGGCGCGTCGTGGGAGCGCGGGGCTGTGCGCGCGCAGGCTCTGCGCAAACTTTCTGCAAGTGCAACTCGGGCATCCCCGCGGAGGCGGGGACGCGGGGCTCCGCGGAGGCGGGGGCGCGGGGAGCAGGCGAGGGCGGCCGCGAGCCCAGGGGCGGATCCCCGCTGGGCCGGGGGCCTGAAAGGGAGCCAATCGGGCGGCCGCGGCGGCTGCCAATCACGCGGCGCCCTCCAATCCCACCCGTGCCATTTCCAAACTCTGGGTCCCACTGTGCAGCTGCGATGTGGGGCTCGCTCTGCCAATCGCCGGAGGACCGAGCGGGCACGGGGATACGCAGAGTTAGGCGGCCAGGACAAAGAAGTTAAAGAGCGCCGAACACATACATGTTTCTGGAGGCGGGCAGAGGGAAAAACGTGCCCCCGGGGCGGGCCCGTGGGTCTGACTGTGTGGCTCCGATGGAGCCCCCTCTGCGCCAGAGGACCCCGCCGGCGCCGAGAGTAGCGGACTTGGCGGCGGCTCAGGCCGGGCCGCTGCGCACCGCGACGGGCTTCCCGGCGCCGGCCCGCCCGCGCGCCCACGCTCGGCGCCGCCCTCGAGCCCCGGCCGCCGACCCCGGCGCGGCCGCCGCTCCGCCGGGACCCGAGCGCACGGCCCGGGCGCGCGGGCCCCCCGCCCCGGCGCGCGCGGCGCGGCCCGAGGCCCCGGCGGCCGCGCACCCCGGCGCGGGGACGCACCCCGGCGGCGGGGGCAGGCGCGGCGCGCGGCCCGCGGCGCCCCCGCCCCCGGCCCCTCCCCCTCCGCCCTCCCCTTCCCCCCCGCCCCCCACCCCGCCTCCGCCTGCCCGCGCGGGCTGCGGCACCACCAACAGTGGCGGCGGCGGCAGCAGCGGCAAAGGCCGCAGCAGGGACGTCGTCCTCCGGAGGGACCTGCCCGCCGCGGCCCCCGCGGCGGCCATGCACGGGGCCCCGCTCGCAGGGGAGCAGCGGCCGGGCGCCGGCTCCCCGCGGCCGCCGGCCCCGCCTCCCCCCGCGGCCGGCGTGTTCATCGCGGCCAGCGGCGCCTACGCGGGCCCGGACGGCAGCGGCGGCGCGGCCCCGGCGCTCTTCCCCGCGCCGCGCGACGCGCCGGGGGCGCCCGGGGGCCCCCCGCTCGCGCTCAACGGCCAGATGCGCCTGGGGCTGGCGGCGGCCGCGGCCGCGGCGGCGGCCGAGCTGTACGGCCGCGCCGAGCCGCCCTTCGCGCCGCGCTCCGGGGACGCGCACTACGGCGCGGTGGCCGCCGCGGCCGCGGCCGCCCTGCACGGCTACGGCGCCGTGAACTTCAACCTGAACCTGGCGGCGGCCGCGGCCGCGGCGGCCGGGCCCGGGCCCCACCTGCAGCCGCAGCACCACGCGCCGCCCCCGGCGCCGCCGCCGGCGCCCGCGCCCGCGCCGCGCCCGCACCCGCGCCCGCACCCGCGCCCCCCCCACCTCGCGGGCGCCGCCGGGGCCTTCCTGCGCTACATGCGGCAGCCAATCAAGCAGGAGCTCATCTGCAAGTGGAGCGACCCCGACGCGCCGGCCGGCGGCGCGCAGCCCTGCTCCAAAACTTTCGGCACCATGCACGAGCTGGTGAGCCACGTCACGGTGGAGCACGTGGGCGGCCCCGAGCAGAGCAGCCACGTCTGCGTCTGGCAGGACTGTCCGCGCGAGGGCAAGCCCTTCAAGGCCAAGTACAAGCTCATCAACCACATCCGCGTGCACACCGGCGAGAAGCCCTTCCCCTGCCCCTTCCCGGGCTGCGGCAAGGTCTTCGCGCGCTCCGAGAACCTCAAGATCCACAAGCGCACTCATACAGGTGGGTGTCCCGCCGCCGGCCCGCCCGCGCCGCCGCCGCCGCTCCGGCGCCCGCTCGCCCGCACTTGTCCCGCCGCCCGCTGCCGCTGCGCGCGTGCCTACGGCCCGGACATGTGACTTCTGTTTTTTCTCTCCCCCCCTTTTTTTCCATGAATAAGTAATTCGATAGCACACACAGGCCCCGTCCGCGTTCCCACACGGTGGAGTCTCCGGCGCGCCCGCAGCCCCGCCGCCGGCACCGGCACCGGCACCGCGCCCCAGCCGCCCGCCGCCGCCGCGCCCGAGCAGCAGCAGCAGCAGCCGCCGAGGAAGGCGCCCAGGACGGTCGGCAGCCCCCCTCCGCCCGGCCCCGGGAACCTGGGGAGGGCGATGGGCAGCGGAGGCCGGAGCGGGGGCCGCGCCCCGCAGGCGCTTCCCGCCCCACCGGGGGGCAGGCCCCGCGCGGCGACCGCGCCCGGGAGAGCGGGCGCGCAGGGGCGCGTGGGGGTTGCTGCGGAATTGGGGTCACCGGGCCCGGCTCGGCGCGGCCCCCCGGAAGGGGAGGGGAGGTCGGGCCTCGCGGGACGGGGCTCGACAGGCGAGAGGGATGCGCCCTCGTCCCCTCGGGACGGCACGCGCGCACGCACACGCACGCACGCCCTTTGCACACCCCACACATCTGCACACGCACACAACACGGGCAGCTGGCACGGCTGTGCACGCGCGCATCCTCCGCGCCCCTCCCGGGGCGGCCGCAGGTCCTGACACCCTCGTTCACGCTTGACCCGGGCGCACCTCCACTCGCACCCGTGCGCACACGCGCGCTCACACGCGCCCCAGGTGTGCAGGAGTGGTTGACGTGTCGTTTTAAAGAAGGTTCTGGGCGGCGGGCAGCGCGAGCTGTAGCGATCCGTGGGCGTTGGGGCCTACCCCCGCCGGGGTGCCCGGGAGAAGCCTCGGCGCTCGGGGACCCCTCGCACCCTCCCCCAGCCCTGCCTTTGGGGGCGCTACGGGCCGGGCTGCGGCCGGCTGCGGCGTGGGGCCGGGGAAGGTCGCGTGGGGCGCGTGTCCCCCGGGGAGGGCCGTGCGCCTTGGGCAGGGGCGCTGGAGCGCGCCAGCGCGGGCGGGATCACCCCTGGAGGACACTCCAGTAACCGGGGTTTGCGCTCGGTAATTGCTCGGCTGGTTTATCGGCGCTGCGGCGAAGGGGAGGCGGCCCCTGGGCGGGGGCGCGGGGCCTTAGGAGAGGCGCGGGAGCCGGGTGGGGGGCGCCCCGGCTTGGCGCTGCCCGCGGCCCCCAGGGCACCAGCTGCTCTCCCGGGAGCGCGGGCCGCGGTGCCGTCGTGGCCGCCGCCTTCGCGGTGCCTCCGCGGGACACTTTCCTCGGCAGTAAACTGGACCCGGCCCGCGGCGCCGGCTGCTCCGGGGGGACCCCCGCGCGCGGTGCTGCCAGATGGCAGGGGCCCGGGGCGCGCCGGCCGCAGGAGGGGAGGGCCGCCCCCACCACAGGGAACCCCTGAAAGCGGCGCCTGCGGCCTGGGGTCCCTTCCCCCGGCGGGACCCCCAAGGGAGTGGGTCTGCCCTCGGGGCCGACCCAGGCCTGCGCCCTCCGGCCGCCTCGCGCTCGGCCCCAGCGCCCGCGGCCGGGGGAGGCGGGGACTCGGCGCCGAAGGGACGGCGCGCGGGTGTGTTCGCGTCGTGCGCGCGGCTGGTACCCCTCGGGGCTCGGGCTGCTCGCGGCCGCGCCCGGGTCGCGCCGCATGTTTTTGGCGGCTCCTGGGCCCCCAGCCTCGGAGCTTTGTGTCCAGAGAGGGACGGTCGCGAACTTCCCCCCCCTGCCCTGCTGCGCGCCCCTTTGGGGGGGATCCCGGGGTCCCGGAACAGACAGATCAAAGGGAGCGATCCCCGGCCGCTCCCCGAGGCCGGCTTCCTGCCCCACGTGCCCAATCGGGTTTCCAGCCGCCCCGGGGTCCCCGGGAGAGGGGCCTGCCGGGCCCCGAGTTGGCGCCCCTGGTCCTCTCCACGGCCGAGGGAGCTGGGTTCCCACGCGCCCCTGCTGTTCGGCCCTGCAGCGTGCACCCCGGGGGCTCAGCCTGTGCGGCTGGGTAGCGCCCCAGCCCCCCTGTGCCCCCGGGAGAAAATGGGCAGCTCGATGGCCTTCCCAGCTTTCCCTTCTATGTTCTTCCTCCACCTTTCCTGAACCCCCAATTCTCTAGCTTCCCCACTGGGTCGCTTCCTTTTACTGGGGCGCCGGCCCCTCTGATCATGCGCAGTGTCGGAGCCGGGCGCGGCCCAGCCTAGTGTTTTCCCCATGCGGGCTGTGCAGGGACGCGAGGATGCCAAACGCAGCCTCCACGGCGCCAGCAGGAGTAGACCCGCTGCAGCCCCATATTGAAGAAAGGCTGCTTTTTTATTATATATATACATATATATATATATAGTTTTGGGGGGATGCCATGTTAAATTGTCATCTCCAACCGAAAGTCAAGTACGGGCCCCAGGACGACGAATATCGCGTTGTGATGGAAAGCCCTGAACTCTGTTTTTGTTACCGGTCACCATCAGAGGATTTTTAAAGTTGTGGTTATCACCATGCTGTGTTGAGCTTCCCCTCTGGTTATCGATCCGCCGGGAGGTCTCTATAAGCAACGTCTAGTTTCATTCCCCAACACTATTTCCAGGCAGAGCAAGGGATAGTCAGGCCCCTGAGCTCTCCCTGCAGAGGCAGCCTGCTGCCCCTTGAAGCAGGTAACATTGGCGAGATTTTAAAAAATTATTTAAAAGGAAACTGAAGTAGGTATATGAAGGGAATAAGAAAAATTCACCACAAAAATTTCTGTACACTAAGATGACTTGATAATAGATTTTTTACCCCCACCCCGCCCCCGGAAAATTATTCACAGCCAAGGAAAAGGCCTTCGGTTATGCTTCACCCCAGTAGCTGCTGAAATGGAGAGAGACTGCACTTTTTTTTAAATAATTTAAATACGAGGGAAAATGTTGTGCAATAATATGGATGCCAGGATTTGCTTCATTATGGACTCCAGTTCGTCAAGCTCCTAGATCCTAGGATGTTCGGGAAAATTCACGAGATGGCCTGTGTCTCCCTTTTTTAATTTTTTATTTTTGCTCTTTAATTCCAGGGTGCTGTGTGGCTGGGTGTCTGGATGCTTGGATGCATTTCCATTTCCTGGACTGGGGGGGCTCTTGTGCCAGCTTCCTGAGCTGGGGTGTTGAGCTTCAAACCCCACCCCCCCCCAGCCAAAAAAAACCTCTGCTAAATAGCCCATCTCTTTTGGACCACTCAGCAAGGTGGAAAGCTGTTAGATTACCTCCTCCTTGCATCAGGGAAATGCCAGATTCTGCCTGAGGCTTGTGGTCTTTATGAATATTTAAGGTTAGGTTCCTTGAGGCTCTTAATTGCCCTGTAAGTTGTGAGAAGCTGGTGGGGTTACAGAGGCCAGCTACCTCTCCTCTGCCCAGCTAGGCTGGTAAAACATCTAGCAGGGGCCTTGTGTGTGTCACAGGTCCCTCTCTTAAGAGAACAGGATTCTCTTTTATTGCCTATTTTTAAGCTCCGTCACTGAAATCATAGGGAACAAAATTGTCACTAATATAACATTGCTGCACAGCATTTTTAATCGCGTGTGTGTTTATTTTGCTTCTCTTTTTTTGACGTTCCTCCCCCAAACATGTGACTTTGGAAGTGTCATTTCATCCACATTTGTCTTGACAGATAAGTCTTGTAAGTTTGCTTGCAAGTTGCCTGTACAGACCCCGACTGCTGGGTCTTCTGTAGGTTTTTCAGTGATGCTTCCTGAACCAGACTCTAGCCATGCTCACCTGGACCCCTTTGGGACCGGAGGGGCTGGCATCCAGCCTCCCACAGGCCCACACCCCAGGAGAAGCCTCCAGGCCAGTGGACCCCAGGCCTAGCCCTGACTCTGGACTGTAGGAATTAGGCTGGGAGTTCATCTTCAAGAAAATGGGAAAATGCATCCTTATTTCTGCTCCAGATCTCTCTCTCAAGTGCGGGGTCCCCGAAAAGCGATTGCTAACATCACCTCTGTTTTGTTGCAGGGGAAAAGCCTTTCAAATGTGAATTTGACGGCTGTGACCGGAAGTTTGCCAACAGCAGTGATCGAAAGAAACATTCCCACGTCCACACCAGCGACAAGCCCTACTACTGCAAGATTCGAGGCTGTGACAAGTCCTACACGCACCCCAGCTCCCTGAGGAAGCACATGAAGATTCACTGCAAGTCCCCACCACCCTCGCCGGGAGCCCTGGGCTACTCCTCAGTGGGGACTCCAGTGGGTGCCCCCCTGTCGCCTGGTCTGGACCCAAACAGGAGTCGCTCCAGCACCCTGTCCCCTCAGGTGACCAACCTCAATGAATGGTACGTTTGCCAGGCCAGTGGCGCCCCCAGCCACCTGCACACACCCTCCAGCAACGGGACCACGTCTGAGTCGGAAGAGGAGGAGATGTACGGGAGCTCGGAAGTTGCGCGGACGATACATTAGAATGTATTAGTAATAATAATAACACGCGGGAGTCCTTGGACCATATCCTAACCTGAGACAATGCCGAGCCTGAGACAAACCCCTGACTCAGACTTGCCACCGGGTCTAATTAGCCCTATTTATTCAGTATGAAACCCTATGGTGTTTGTACATTTAATTAATTTAATTAAGATATTTGGGCTTTTTTTTTTTTTTTTTTTTCCTTAGAGAACAAACAACAACAACAAAAACAACCACCAGGCTGGACTTGTACCTTGCAGGGGGCTGGACTGGGAGCAGATTGTACCAAGGAAAATGGAGCGATTAGTTAATCGAGATACACACTGCCACGCTCTATCTCTACATATGTATATGTCTTTTTCAAGGGGGAGAGAGAGCATTATGTGAGAACTCAAGACCGCAGCCAGGCCCTCTGTATTTCCTGGAGTGCCTCTCGAATGCCTTTGACACCATGATGGGCTTCTTGGGAGCCTTTTTTGCCTCCTCCTTGGGCCCTAATTCTGCAAAGGCCTCTTGATTGTAAACCACACACTTGCTGCATTTGCCAACAGACTTTGGACTGTACCTATGTCCAAAAATATTTGTACAAGCCTTTTGAGTCCTAATGCTTAAACATTTTAATTTCCACTCTTTTATTACTGATCTCACCGTAACACACTATTTTTATACAGGATTATTTCTCCAGTACCCTGCTTACGTGGTTTTAAAAAAAAAAAAAAAAGATGCAGCAACCTTAATACCTCTCCATATACTGTGCTACTGTGATTGTCCAAGCGAAAGTGGAGAGAGAGAAAAGCTGCTGCAACACACAACTGTGAAACTGATATTTTATAAAACGGAAGTTCAAGTGCTTTCTTTTTCTGAGGTTTTTTGTGTTTTTTTTTTTAATCTGAAATCTCAGACGCTGCCTCTTTACTGTGTCTAAACTCGTGTAATAAAGAGATGACGTTTTAGATCCTAAGTTCTTTGGGAAGCCAAAATGAACAGGCAAGTCTAAGGAGGTGTGATGTTGGCATCATGACTATTTTTTGGGAAAGCTGGTTTTCACACAGGCCAGCCCCTCTTTTACACTGTTGGACCAACCTTTCCAAAAGTCTTTATTTTTCCAATGCCTGAAACTGCATCTTCATGCATTTTCTTCCACCTGAGCACCAAGCACACAGAGCTCGATCATCATTTGAAAATGACAGTGTGTGAAGTGTATGATTTACATTAAAAGAGGGGAGGGAGTTGCTATACATATTAAAATTTTCAAAAGGTTTAGAGTTACTACCAAACAATGATGAATGTGTGACCTTTGCCAGAGCTGTCAAGCTAGGATAAAAAAGGTCAAGGACCTAGGACAATAACTCTTAGTCAATTTATTTTCCGTTGGTACAACACATCTCGTGGGCAAAATGTGGTCCATCATAAACATCACACAGATACACTCAAGAGCACTAATTTATCCTCAGAGACCCTCAAGACACCCCCCTCCCCAGGGTTTGTAGAAATTTGTTTTGTGTGCTGTGAGTGGTTGATGTAGTCTTGTCATTGTTAATAACTTGTATGTGAACACTATTATTTGTACAGTTGAATTAATTTATTTTCAGATATCATCTGTTTTTTTTGTTTTTTGCTTCTGGAAGAGTTCAAAGACACCAAAGAATTATAATTATACCTTTTGGTGAGAGATTGTTTATGATCCATGGTTTATTTAAGAAGAAGGAAAAAAAAAAAGGAAAAAATGGGAAAATATATTTTTAAGCTTACTTGAACGAACAACGTAATGTGAAAATCAGGGCTCTTCCTGCATGTGTTTTTTGCATTGTGTTGACGAGATTATACATAGTTTATAGATATATTATAGTACAGTGCATGGTGCTGTCACTTTGAAAGCCTTTCAATGTTGTCTTCAGATTGTTACAGTGAATTTGAAACACGCAGACCCTCCTTTATAAAGAAGAGACCGTAAAACTTGAATATAAAATAATTCTACACTTTTTAAAGTTTATTTGATTTTCCTGATTCACTTTCAAAGCTCTTACAAATAGACAAGAGAAGGTATGAACGGGGGGTGGGAGGGGATAATTTATGTATCGTGAACGTATTCGAGCAAGATATTCCTGATTTATAATGAGTTGTTTTATTTATACAACTTTTTCGCTGGTAGTTTGCACTATTCTTTATTATGCTACAGGTTTATTTATTATGAAACAAAGGAATATGTATTTTATGTATTTTGCCATGCATAGGTTAACTCTTCGCCACAGATTTATGGGTTCCTGATACACCTAAAATAAAACTTCAAATGTGTACCTCCAATAGAGACCAAGCAAGAATGATTATGAAGTAAAACATTTAATAAAGGTATTCTTCCTATGGGTTGCTTATGCTTTACATGGTGGCCTGTTTCTGCCGTTCCCTTACAAAAGAAACAGGTGGCTAATGTAGACAGTAAGTCCTCTCCCCTTGCTCTCTATTTCGTAGCCTCTCTGCAAGCAAGAAGGTCAATTTTTACAGTTTGGGTTAGTTTACAACCTAGTCTAGAAAAGAGTATACTTAGGACTTCTGTCTGGTTCTACCTAACACTGGCATATGTCCAAAGGATGACCATTTTTTCAAAATTAATATCCTTAGGGGTCCTAATCAGTGAAAAGCAAATTCCAGCAATTCTTTGGCACCCAGATGCTAAAAGGATGAAAAGGAGGGAAAGACAGGCTTCTAGACACAAAGGTGAAAGCCAAGTTGGCTGAGCTGAACTAGGTACTGAGTCGTAAACACATCTGGAAATCAATGATGGATCCCAACCTTCTCAGGTACTGGGGATCACAATCCAATTTTATTGTGGTTCCTTTGGTGGAAGTTGAGTGGCTATAAGTTATTTAGCCTTGGGGGTGGGGGGGAGGGGGTCAGGGGTCAAGGAGAAATTAGGTTTCTTCCCTGGCAACAAAATGTCCAAGTGGAAGGTAATTGGCTGTCCACACTGAGGAGGCTGTGTGTTGGCTCGTCTGTCTGTTCCCCCATGACAAAACCGATAAAAGGCAAATGGTGAAAAACAATCAGTTGGGATGTTGACAAGCAGTCCTCCAAAAGGCTCGAGTGGTTTTTTTTTTTTTAAAAGTCAGGTTGGTTAAATGTAGGGAAGGTGAAACAGGTTGCAAAGACTTGTGTTCGGCCTGATGACAATAACCAGCGCACGAAGGAGCTAAGCACTCATAAATGAGGGCCCCCATCCAGGGGGAAACTTATAGCTCTCTAATGAAGTTTCTTGTGAAAAGAAGGTTGACACAAAGCCACCAGACATGAATCATTCATGGGAAATATAAAAGATAAAAGATATCTGACAATGAGCAGAACCCTGTATAGAGTGTATAAAACAAGTTTCCCCTTCTTATTTTCTGCTTTAAAACGCACAGCCTCCCGCTCCCGGCCGCTCTCCGTCCAGCCTATAGCATTAAAATTGACCACTGTTCCTCCTGCACCACTTCAAAGTAATTTCGTCCAGAACGGAAGGTTTGGCGCCTGGACGATCTTCATGGTGTGTTAAGATTTCTATGGCAATTGGCAAGCAAGACGTTTCCATCTGAATATGTTTCAAAGAAAGCCACTTATTGACACGAAGTTGGCTATCATCAAAGACTTCATCTTTCCTGGGCGAAATGTGGTCCTCGTGGCCTTGGAGAACACTGTTCAAATCATCCACCTTTGTTCCCCGGGCGGGGACGGTCTCCAAACACGTCGAGAGTGTTTTAGTCCGTGTGTATTTTCCCCACCCGGGATAGTCTTTGGTCAAACCAATGTTCCTCAAACGCAACGCACTCAGAAAGAGCTGGAGGGTGGGAGTCGTGTTCTTTCAAGGAGCTGGAGGTGGCCGCCCTCGGCGCTAGCCGTGGTGACAGGAGAAGGAGAGGCCCGAGTTCAGGAAGTCAGAGGCCGCTACGTGCCCGCAGCGTGTTCGGATCCCAGTCCTGACGCTTGTAGCTCGCGTCTCAGAGACGCCGGCTTCATCCTCGATAGGTGTCATGGTCCCAGAGCTACCTGCCAAGCACCGAAGAATCCACCCGTATCTATCTCCCTACCTGTCACCTCGCTTGCCTAACTTTCAGCTGTGTTTTTCTCTCTGAAACGGAACAAGAGCGCTTACTCACAAGGATGCTCTGCACCTGCTTGGTCAGGACCTCACTGTGTGGGAGGGGGTGGGGTCTGGTTTATTCAGATCACCTGAACTTAGCAGAAAGGCAGCAGCAACAGCCCCTGTGCACACGCTCAGCCCCGGCCTCCACTCCTGCCTGCCCAGGCGGTCATCTACCAAGACAGACACTTGGCCAGAGACCCCGGCCCTTCCTGGGGTTGGAGCGATGGTGAAGGAGACCCACAGTGAGCCACCCTGGGGCGCCAGCACACACCAGCACACACCGCTTACACACACACTCACGTCCACACACACACTCGAGCATGCACACCCACGCCAAGCCAGTGTCTAGTCAGGCCGTGAGAAGTTCAAAGCTACGTTCTTTGACATTCGAACTAGTGCTTCCCTGGGCTGTCCCCACCAGGGCCAGCACTGCTGTGGCCGAGGCCGGCCAGGGAGCCCCCAGTAGGGGCCCCGAGGGGAGACACTGCGTGAGGACACGGTGGCAGTGACCTTTGCTTGAGCTAAGTTTAAGTTTAGTCAGTTTTCACCCTGGAGAGCCGCAGCCCGGGCAGCGTCACAGGGCACCGTGGCGGACACAGTCCATGCCACACAGGCATGGGCACTTCCACCCACGGTCATGCTGAGATTCCTCCTAGAACCTCCTGGCTGGGGAGAAAGGAGAAAGGATGAGAAGAGGGGGCGAGAAAGCCGGGTGGGGGTGGGGGTGGGAGGCCCTGGAAGGGGGGAGGGGGCAGGAGCGTGAGCCCCAGTTCCTCTTCCTTCTCTCCCCACCTAAGTACTTTTATTTGCAGAGCGATTGTTCTTTGTTTATTTAATACAAGTACTGTGTGAATGGTGAAAAATAAACACGATGAAAAATAACCAAACAGATGATTCCTCGGAGTGAAAAAGCCCGGACTTAATAAAAGTGCGAAGCAGTCACCGCTGAATGAGAAACCCTTTGAAGTGGAACTTATTATAGGAGGAATACTTTGGGGTTGCCTTAACGACGCCGCTGAATCGAAAGCGCTCGCCTTTGTCAGCGATTTGTTCTCCTTTGCTGGGGTGCCCGGAGAAATTACTTACATGGACTGCCTTAACATGCAGCCTGCAAATCAGTAACTTCGCAGCTCAGACTTGCAGACGCCACTCGGCCACCGACAAAAAGAAGTCAGGGGGGAAGCGCGCGGAGCCTTCACGCCGGGCCTCTGGGGACGGGGGCGCACGGGCGTGCAGGGGGCGGCGGATAAGAAGTTGTATTACAACCGACCCCCCTCCGCCAGACTCCCCACCCCCAGCTCCCAGGCCCGGACGGGGGGCCTCTGGCCCGGGGGCGGCGATCTGGGCCTCCCGGGGTGGGGGGGGTTGGGGGGCCCCCCAGCTCCTCCCGGGCCCTCCAGCGCGGGGCGCTCTCCGGCGCGCGGCCCGGGCGCGGGGTTTTCTCGGCGGCCCCGGCCATATTTAATAAGGGTCGTTTATCACCCAGGCGCTTTGAAGGGTCGCCTCCAGCCCCGCGCCCATTAGAAAGGCGGAGGTGACATTTAAACTCCGTTTTCAAGGATCGCGGGGGGATTTCAATGAAAAGGCAACTCGTTTGTCTTATGAGCCTGGAAACAAGCCCCTTCGCGCTCCTTTTGACCACATGGCATAACCCAAAAACAATAGTTCAAAAGTGAAATGGCATCGCGGTGTCCGCCGGGAGACAGGCCCCCGTCCCGCCGCGGAGAAAGGGGGAGCCCGCGGGACAATGTGCTTTTTGTGTCCGGGCCTGTCACCAGGATTGTGTTGTTTGCTTTGGAGGCTGCGCCTGTTAGACTTCGCTGAAAGTGCTTGTGTTCAACAAGAGTTATAAGTCATCCAAAACAACAAACATTTTGATTTTCTTTGCCTAAAGGGCTTTCCCTGGCTATGGGCACCGTGAAAAAATAATGTCCTTGCTGAGAAAGGAGCACCAGTAGCAGCCTTGGACGCGCGCGCATTAAATATTGAATGACACGGGGAACAAGAGCTTGTCGCGGGGCACTCAGCCTGAAAGTCTTTCTTCAGCTGCGTCTTCGGGGGCTGCCGCCTGTGTGAGATGGTATTAATTAGGGCGGCTTCGGGGGCCGCCGAGCCCGCCGGCCCCTCGGCCGCGCTCGGTCCCTGGGCCCGGGTGCCCGCTGCGCGCCCGCGCCGGCCGGGCCGAGTGCAAATGTCACTTCTCATTTGCAGGCTGAAGAGAAGGGCCCGTCCCACACGGAGGGCAGCAGGGGTGCGGCCCCGGCGGGCGGTGGAGGAAGACGAGGGGCTGGGGGAGGGGAGGCAGGCGGGAACAAAATGGGACCAGCTGCCCCGCGCCGGAGGAGCGCGCGGCCCCCTGGCGCACGGCCTGGAGAGGCTGGGCCGCCCCGCTCGGAGGCTCCTGGGTCGGGACACCCACTGCCCTGTGGGGGGCAGATGAAAACCCCAGTCTGGGGAGGCGTGATTTCCCAAAAGGGCTGCTTTCCACAAGGAAAGACAGAACCTTGGTGCAAACAGGCCTCCTCCGACTTCCTGCGCAGCCCTCGGGTGCTCGGCACAGATGACCACCAGGCCCCTAGGGAGCCCAGTCAGGGGCCTCTGATCCAGTTTTACAGATGGAGAAACTGAGCCCTCAAGCCCACTCAGAGAAGATGTTTGCCAATTGTCCCCCCCAGGGGTCTGAAGGGAAGGTCCTCAGTGACCGGGCAGCCCAGACAGGGGTGGAGTTTCTGGTCAGGGCCTCCAGCACGGCTCTGACTTATCCCCTCCTCCTCCTCAATTCCAAGCATTTGATTAAAAATCAAATGGAGGTTGGTTTCAGCAGCTGGAAATTCCTAACTTGAAAAAAAAAAAGAGGCCTGAAGCCTACTGCCAGCTCGCCGTGGCATGAAAGAAACACACGCTTTAAGAAACTGTTAACTATCAATTCTTGATGAAAAGAGACAAGACTTGGCTGGGTAGCGAGGGGCGCAGGGAACCCTGGCAGATTGATTTTTGCAGCCAGAAACCCCACGGGGCCCCTGTCTCCCGGCGTGGAGCTCCAGATGGACACAAGGCTTTTCTTCTCTCTCCAGCTCCCGGGGTGGGCGAGCTGCAGTCAAATGTTCTTTCCCGCGTGAGTGTGATCTGCCCCCGTGCTGCAGATGGGGGGGGGGGTGAGCACCCTTTGGTCTAGACCCACCGCAGTGTCTGGTTGTCCATCTTGGAGATGTGTCTTCCCAGGACTCCCTCTGGCCCTGGCATGGGTCACATTCTCCTCAAGAGAGATCCTGCTGGAGAAAAAGTTCCTGCGCTCCTGCTGGGGCTGGGCTCT